CTCTACCACTTGAGCCACAGTGCCACTTCCGGCTTTTTTTTTTTTCTGCTTATGTGGTGCTGAGGAATCGAACCCAGGGCCTTATGCATGCAAGGCAAGCACTCTACCACTGAGCCACCTTCCCAGCCCCTGAAGTTTATCTTGAAAGCAAAATACAAATAAAAAGGTTGGGAGTGTAGCTCAAGTGGTAGAGTACTTGTTTAGCATGGGCAACGCTCTGATTTCCTTCCCTAGTATTATATATAATACACACAATTACAACAGCAATTGCATACATTCACACCATCACACTAGTCACACAAAATCTAATAATTTCCAAAATTTGTTAAAGATGTAAAGAAATAGGAAGTTACATTCTTGGCTGATTACAAGTTGGTCCAGTCTGTCTGGAGAGTGTTTTTTCAATAGCAGGAGGAAGCTGGGCACCAGTAGCTCACGCCTGTAATCCTAGCTACTCAGGAGGCTGAGATCTGAGGATAAAAGTTCAAAGCCAGCCCAGGCAGGAAAATCCATGTAGCTCTCCCAATAAACTACCAGAAAACTGGAAGTAGCGCTGTGGTTCAAGTGGTATAGTGTTAGCCTTGAGCTGAAGAGCTGAGGAACAACACCCAGGCCCAGAGTTCAAGCCCCACAACTGCAAAAAGAAAGAAAGAAAAAAAATAGCAGGAGGACTGGTGATGGTAGATATATATTTTAAATTAATTTTCCTCTTGTTAATTTTGGCATTGGTTATGTGTGACATATTAGAAACTTACCGTTACCAGGAGAAAGTATAAACAGCTTGTGTTAATATTATAGATTAATTATTAAATGATAGATCTTGAGTTGTAAGGCCATCCTTCTTGATGTACAGGTCGAGGCGAGAGGGACAAGCATCTACATTGAATTTATAAGCATTTTTTTTAGTCGGCCGTGGGGCTTGAACCCGGGCCTGGGTGCTGTCCCTGAATTCTTCAGCTTAAGGTTAGTGCTCTACCACATGAGCCACAGCGCCCCTAATTATTAAATGATAGAATGAGCTATATTAATAAAATATATCATCAATATAATGTTGAGCAGGACAGTAGCAGAAAAGGATATGTATATTGTAGTCTGATTTAACAAATACAAGTGTGTATATAATTTTTTGTCTTAATAAAACCAAGTATGAAAAGATCTTAGCATCAGTTAGAACTGAGAGTGGGTAGGTGGGTGCTTGTAGTATGTCTTACAATTATTTATTTATTTACTTATCGGTCATGGGACCTGAACTCTGGGCATGGGTGCTGTCCCTCTGCTCTTCAGCTCAAGGCTGGCATTCTCCCATTTGAGCCACAGCGCCACTTCTGGCTTTTTCTGCTTATGTGCTGCTGAGGAATCGAACCCAGGGTCTCATGCATGCAAGGCAAGCACTCTTCCACTGAGCCACCTTCCCAGCCCTGTCTTACAATTTTGTAAGAATGTTTAATACATTTAAAAATTGAGGAAGAGGGGCTGGGAAGGTGGCTCAGTGGTAGAGCACATGCCTTGCATGCCAGAGGCCCTGGGTTTGATTCCTCAGCACCACATAAGCAAAAAGAAAAAAGCCAGAAGTGGCGCTGTGGCTCAAGTGGTAGAGCGCTAGCCTTGAGCTGAAGAGCTGAGGGACAGCGCCCAGGCCCAGAGTTCAGGCCCCATGACCGGACCCAAACAAACAAACAAACAAAATAAAAATTGAGGAAGAAAGGATAGAGAGGTCGCTCAGTGGTAAAATGCCTACTTAACATGTATGAGGCCTTGGATTTCATCCCTAACATATCAAAAAAAATTTTTTCTTGAGCAAAAGTAACTGGGAGTTGACATGAAATAGTTATTAAGTTTGGTGTGAAAGGAATGGTAACAGAGAAAGGGGAGTAGAGGTATGAGCTCTTGTCTCAGGGCTTATGCTTGCTTTGAGGCTAGACTTGAGGTTGTTGTTTGACATTGAGAGCTGGGACAAAAGGCTTAGGGAATAGAGAGAGGAAAGTCAATTGTGCTGGAAAACAGGAGCTTTCTGATCATGGAAAGGTATGTGGCCATCACCGTTCAAGATGATGATGAGACTGTTTTCCAGCAGAGATGGTCTGTGCCAATATAGACAGGAAGTACATCCACTGCAGTTAGTCAAGTTTGGGATTTTGTTGTTAGCTAAGTGTGAATGGGAGGCATGGGGTTGGGGATGGGAAGGAAGGGTCATGAGTCATTGGATTCCAGAACACGTAGATGAGGGCTTGGTGACCAGGGCCATGGTTTGCAGGCCGTTGCTGCGGTGGGATTAGGCATACATGCTGAAAAGGAGAGGGGTCTTCAGAGTGTTGTTGTTTTCATTGGTTGTGATCTCTGGTGATCATGGGGTCCAGTGATATTTTCTGAGGTGGTCAGCTGAGGAGTTATAGGGTCAGGTTACTGAACAGAGGTTAGTCAGCTCCTGACGGTGCCTATTCGCACGACATCAGCAGGTGTGGAGAAGAGGAGACAGGAGTGATGTGATGATAAGGGCCTGAGGCAAGCAGAGTTTTTGTTTGTTTGTTTGTTTGGGTCCAGTTGTGGGGCCTGAACTCTGGGCCTGGGCGCTGTCCCTCAGGTCTTCAGCTCAAGGCTAGCGCTCTACCACTTGAGCCACAGCGCCACTTCCACTTTTTGCTTTTTGCTTATGTGGTGCTGAGGAATCAAACCCAGGGCTTCAGGCATGCAAGGCAAGTGCTCTACCACTGAACCACCTTCCCAGCCCCGCAAGCAGAGTTTTTATAACAACATGGAGGAAGTAATCTAGGAGGATATTGGGTCCAGGTGGAACAATGGCCACATGTGACTTGAAATTGATCATTTCAGTGGCCACTTTTCAGGTGTTCAGTAGCAGCCTGTAGCTTGGAGCTTCTCTGCTGGATAATACAGACACAAAATATTTCTGGTTTTGCTTCTTCCCTTTGTGTCTTAAGGAAACACAGAGGGTAGCCCTGCTCATCTCCTTCCTTGAGTTCTGCAGCAGAGTAAGCCATGTTGGAGGATGCTAAAAGCAGTTGAGGGGCTGTGGAGTACCTGTTTTGACTGCAATTAGGGACTGTTCAGAAGTCCCGTTCAATTCATGTATCTAAAATATAAGTTATTACATGTTTTTAAGTCATTGTGCAAATATGCAAATGCTACCTGAAAGCAGGTTGTCTTAACATACACGTACTGTGTGAATTGAAGCACAAACCTTGCAATGTCTTGGAATGTTTCTCATTCCAGTAGCATGCTAGCTACCTCGGATGTCAGCAGGCGGAAGTGGCTGATACCTGGTGCAGAATATTCCATCTTTACCGGTCAGCCTCTAGACATCCAAGACAGGAAGGTGGATAACCAGCTGGAGGAACCCCATGTTCCTGGGTAAGATAACTACTGAAGGGCTAGTCAAGATTGTTATGCTTTCTTCAGAAAGATACAAGGAGCCATCTTTGAGTTTCTGTTTTTATGGGGATCAGACTCAGAGCTTGAACATGTCAGGTGAGTGGTTTACCACTGAGTTACAACCTCAGCCCAGGAGCCATTTCTTTGGTCCTTTTTTAATTTTTATTTTATTTTTCTGGGGGTCTGGTCGTGGGGCCTGAACTCTGGGCCTGGGCACTGTCCCTCAGCTCTTCAGCTCAAGGCTAGCGCTCTACCACTTGAGCCACAGCGCCACTTCTGGCTTTTTTCTTTTTGCTTATGTGGTGCTGAGGAATCAGACCCGGGGCCTCGAGCATGCAAGGCAAGCGCTCTACCACTGAGCCACCTTCCCAGCCCCTGGTCCTTTTTTTAAACATAGGATCTCAGTATGTAGCCTAGGTAGCATGGAACTGTTTTACTTTTGAGGCCCTGCCTCAAGACTTAACTTGAGCTTGGCATATTGCACATGCTCAGCAAGCACTCTACCACTAAGCTTTACTGCAACATTTAGCCTTTTGAGACAGGAGCTTCTAAAAATGTATACAATTAATTTTTTTTTTACTTAGTTGTACAAAGGGGTTTCAGTTCAACATTTCAGTTTATGAGTACAAGACACAGGATGCTGACATATAGCCCAGGGCTGGTTTTGAACTCTGAATTATCCAGCCTTAACCTTCCAAGTTCTAGGATTACAGGTGTATGTCACCATCACTGTTTAGTTCAAATACAATATTTCTTTATATGCTAGGAAGTTAAAAGGGTTGAGAAGTACTGGGTAACTGCAGGTAGCTTCACTCTGAATTGTTTACATTATATAACATCATCATAGTGGCTAGTTGTCAACTTGCTTCTTCTTTTTGTTTTTCCAATGTTCAGTTTCCTTTAATGACCCCTATCTCCCTGAAGGGCAGATGCAGGTAGTTAGACGATGGCAAGGCAAGAGATGGTTCAACTCGCTTCTTAATCCTCTGTGAATCCTAGTATTGTCCTAGCTTGGTGTGCTTTCTTCAGTTATCACAGAATGAGTGGCTTAAACAACAAATACTGATTTCTTCAGTCTGGAGTTGTAAGTGCAGGGTCAAGGTGCCACATGGATAAGGTCCTCATGGCTCATCCTTATTGTGTGCCAGACAGTGCCCTCAGATTCCTCCTCTTTTTACTGAGGACATTAATCCTACGGATTCCTCTTTAATCACCTCATTTTACCCAAATGTCCTTGGAAAAATCCCTCCTCAAAATACCATCCCGTAAAGATTAGGACTACAACCTATACATTAATTAGATGGAGGACACACAAATACTCAGTTTATAGCACTTACGACCATAATTATTATTTAAGGTACCATTCTCCTCCGGAAAAGGATTCTTCATCCGGAAGTTCATCAACAAGCTTATTGGTTAAAAAACAAAAAGAAACGTCAGACACGCCAATTATGAAAGCTTTGAAAGAACTCAATGAAGAAAGAATATTAAAAAATTGGGGGACACAGACAGAGAAAGAGGACACCTCAGGTAGTATTTTATTCCTTGTTTAAGACAGATAGGTACAGGTATCTTTACTCCCCCAGTTCTTCATTTAATTAATTAACTGTCTTTTTGCTGGGTGCCAGTGGCTCACATCTGTAATCCTAGATACTCAGAAGTCTGAGATCAGAGGATTGCAGTTTGAAGCCATCCAGGGCAGGAAAATCTATGAGACTCTTATCTCCAGTTAATCACAGAAAAAGCCAGAAGGAAGCTGGGCTTCCTGGCTAACGCCTATAATCCTAGCTACTCTGGAGGCTGAGATCTGAGGATCGAAGTTTAAAGCCAGCCCAGGCCGGAATGTGAGACTCTTATCTCTAATAAACCACCAGAAAACTGGAAGTGGCGCTGTGGCTCAAGTGGTACAGTGCTTGCCTTGAGCTGAAGAGCTGAGGGACAGAGCCCAGACCCAGAGTTCAGGCTCCACAACCGACCAAAAAAAAAAAAAAAGCCTGAAGTAGAGCTGTGGCTCAAATGGTAGAGAGGCCCTGAGTTCAAACCTCAGTAACAGCACGCAGGCGTGTGCACACAAGCACACGGACAGATAGACAGATAGACAGACAGGTATCTCTCAGTGGATGGATGAGTGTGTGTGAGTCAAATGTATGTTCAGTGGAGGACCTTGTGCAGTGTGACATCTATAATAAAGGCTTGTTTTGACTTTGTTTTTGTTTGTTTGTTTGTATTTGTCTGGTACAGAATTAGTGAATTCTCGGCATACTGAGTCTTCAGCAAGTCGTTCACCAGAGAAATGTGCCCAACACAGACAAAAGAGACAGAGTTCTACTTCGCAGAGATCATCGTCTTTACCACCTTCCAATCGTAAATCCAGCACTCCAAGTAAGAATTCAGTGCACTTTTCTCTTAGGCCAAAGAGAGTGATATCTGAGTCAGGTGCTTGGGTTCCAGTGTCTCTGTGTGCCTGCCAGCGCTTGGCTGAGCACAGGAGCATGGGGTGGTCTCTCTACAGGACTTCCTTCAATGACAAAATTATTTGAGCATAGATAGATGAACATCTTGCTTAACTAGGTACCAGTGGCTCATGCCTATAATCCGAACTACTCAGAGAGGAGGAGATCTGAGGATCATGGTTCAAAGTCAATCTGGACAGGAAAGTCTGTGAGGCTCTCTCTAGTTAACCACTAGAAAAATCTAGAAGTAGACCTAGGCTCAAGTGGTAAAGCACCAGCCTTGAACAAAAGAAGCTCAGGGACAGCGTCCAGGCCCTTAGTTCAAGCCCCAGAATTCATACACACACACACACACAGATACACAAATCTAAGTGTATGAGTCAAGTGTTTTTGTGTGTCCATTAAATTGAGTAGACAGTTACACATTAAACATAATCCAACTAATGACTCACTCACTTGAAAAGAGAAGCTGCTTTCTGGTATTTGATGTGAGTTATTCCCTTGAGCCAGCTCTGTTAGAGGAGGGTTCACCAGTGCATTAGTGTTTCCTTATTTCCAGTTGACTTCTAAAATCCTGAAAAACCAGTTTTGAGTCAGTCTCAGAAATTCCAGTCTGATACTAAAAAAGTCATTGTGGCTACATCTAGGTTTTAAGATTATGGGTCATTTTATTTTTACTTGTGTACTCTTAACTTTCAAAGTGTTAGGATAAAATTATGTTACTTATAAAATTAGGAAAAAATTTCCTACTGAAAAACAGGTCTGCAACCTAACATATAGTAGGAAAATAATATTTCATCTTTATTTTTTTCTTTAGCCAAAAGAGAGATTATGTTAACACCAGTGACTGTGGCATATAGTCCAAAGAGATCCCCTAAAGAAAACTTGTCCCATGGATTTAATCATCTGCTTAGCAAAAATGAAAGTAATCCAATTCGGTAAGTCCGCTAAAATTCTAGAAATAATATATTTATGTGATTGGCTTTTTTTTTTTTTTGGGTCCGGTCGTGGGGCCTGAACTCTGGGTCTGGGCTCTGTCCCTCAGCTCTTCAGCTCAAGGCTAGCGCTTTACCACTTGAGCCACAGTGCCACTTCCTGCTTTTTTTCTTTTTGTTTATGTGGTGCTGAGGAATCGAACCCAGGCCTTATGCATGCAAGGCAAGTGCTCTACCACTGAGCTACCTTCCCAGTTCTGTGATTGGTTTTTAAAGGTTGACTTTTACCTATAAACCTATTATTCATTTTTCTAGTTATCAGTGGGAACTTTGTGGATTTTTTTATTTAATGAATATCATACTAAATAATTTTTTAAGCCAGGCGCCGGTGGCTGACACCTACTCCTAGCTATTCAGGAGGCTGAGATCTGGGGATCGTGGTTCAAAGCCAGCCTGGGCAGGAAAGTCCATGAGACTCTTATCTCCAATAAACCACCAGAAATTCAGAAGTAGCACTGTGGCTTAAGTGGTAGAGTGCTAGCCTTGAGCAGAAGAGCTGAGGGACAGTACCCAGGGCCAGAGTTCAAGCTCCATAACTGAAAAAAAAAAAAAAAGAAAAAAATTTATGAACTTGCTACTACTAGATTTTAATACTATCTCAGCATCTTTTTTTTTTTTTTTTTTGGTTAGTGGTGGGGCTTGAACTCTGGGCCTGGGCGCTGTCCCTGCACTCTTCAGCTCAAGGCTAGCGCTCTACCGCTTGAGCCTCAGTGCCACTTCCAGTTTTCTAGTGGTTTATTGGAAATAAGAGTCTTATGGGGGCTGGGAAGGTGGCTCCGTGGTAGAGTGCTTGCCTTGCATGCATGAGGCCCTGGGTTCGATTCCTTAGCACCACATAAAGAAAAAAGCCAGAAGTGGCACTGTGGCTCAAGTGGTAGAGTGCTAGCCTTGAGCTGAAGAGCTGAGGGACAGCGCCCAGGCCCAGAGTTCAGGCCCCACGACTGGACCCCCCCCAAAAAAAAAAAAAAAAAAAAGAGTCTTATGGAATTTCCTGTCTGGGCTGGCTTTGAACCGCGATCCTCAGATCTCAGCCTCCTGAGTAGCTAGAGTTACAGGCGTGAGCCACCAGTGCCTGGCTATATCTCAACATCTTATGCTGAGATATAGAATGAATATTCTATATAGATATAGTATGAAAATTCTTTTTGTGTGTGTATGTGTGTGTGTGCATGTGTGTGCTTGTACCAGTACTGGGGTTCAAACCAGAGGGCCTGGGCACTCTCTCTTAGCTCTCTCACTCAAGGCTGGTGCTCTACCACTTGAGGCATATCTCTAATTCTGGCTTTTTGGGGTTAATGGCAGGTAAAAGTCTCATGGGCCTTCTTGGCTGAGCTGGCTTTGAACTTTGATCCTCAGATCTCAGCCTCTTGAGTAGCTAGGGTTATAGGTGTGAGCCACTGGTGCCCAGCAGAATTGTCCTTCCTGAAAAGGTTAATGACATGGGGAAACTTCGGAACAAGACAGTGGGCTAAACAGGTGCAAGGTCCCTGTCCCCACCTGTCCTCTAGAGGGGGAGCAGGGTGTTCTGTGTGGGAAGGCCTCCTGGTTCTACATCCACTCCCTTTGGCACTTAGGAGCTCAGTTAAGCACATCGAACCCTACTTTTCCTTTCAATAAAACAAAGAGATGGGCTGGGAAGGTGGCTCAGTGGTAGAGCGCTTGCCTTGCATTCATGAGGCCCTGAATTCAATTCCTCAGCACCATATAAGCAGAAAAAGCTGGAAGTGGTGCTGTGGCTCAAGTGGTATGCTAGCCTTGAGCTGAAGAGCTGAGGAACAGCACCCAAGTCCATGCTCCATGAACGACCAAAAAAAACAAAACAAAACAGGGAGAATGATACTGCCCAGATGTGATAAAGATCAACTGACATAATGTGTATCAAAAGGCTTTAGATCTGTGTGGAAGTATAATTTCAGGTTAGAAAATGGTCATTAAATTTCAACTTTATAAATTATGACCAGCTTTGTTATAAGAAAATATGTAGGCTGGGTGCTGGTGGCTCGTGCCTGGACTCCTTGCTACTGAGGAGGCTAAGATCTGAGGATTGTGGTTCAAAGCCAGCCTGGGCAGGAAAGTTGATGAGACTCTTTGTTTATTTTTTGTTTTTTTGTTTTTCTGCTTATGTGGTGCTGAGGAATCAAACCCAGGGCCTCATGCATGCAAGGCAAGTACTCTACCACTGAGCCACCTTCCTAGCCCTCGATGATACTCTTACCTCCAATAAATCACTCAGAAAACTGGAAGTGGTGCTGTGGCTTAAGTGATAGAACACTAGCCTTGAGCCAAAGAGCGCAGGGACAGCACCCAGGCCCCAAGTTCAAGGCCCTCAACCAACAATAGAATAAAAGGAAATATGTAAATGTTAAGAAAGAGTTCACTGGATGCCAACTTATCTTTCTAATGGAGATAGGGAAAACCAGTTAACATTTTTTCTCACAAATAACTTGCTTCATTCAATAGATTTGATATACTTTTGGATGATTTAGATACTGTTCCTGTGTCCACATTACAACGAACCAATCCAAGAAAACAGCTCCAGTTTCTTCCTCTACATGACTCAGAAGGTATCTTTTTCTAAAAAATAAATTGATTGGTTATGGCTATTGTCATTCATTTCCCAAGGTTTTGATAGCTTTGGAAAGTTCTAAAAAATAATCCCTCCAGCTAGCCATTCATGATACTGCACTTCGTTGCCTTGGGGAAGTTGGGCAGCGAGGTGTGGGGAACTGGGCTGTGCTCCAATATTAAACTCTAGTAATCAGCTCAGGCTTGTTAGGATCAAGTCACAGGTAATGTGTGTGCAGTTTCTTCGATGGGCTCTCAGAGCATCTGCTCTTTAGCATCAGGACATGTTCACTAAATGTCAGGATTAGATTTTAGACTTTTTTTTTTGATGGTCCTGGGGTCTTGGGCTTTCTTCCCCCTGCTGACTTTGAAACATGATCCTCAGATCTCAGCTTTCTGAGTATCTAGGATCAGAAGTATGAGCCACTGGTATCTATATCAGGCTTTTTTTTTTTTTTTTGCTTTAAGTTTACTATATGGCATCCAAAAAAACACTTAACATTCAACTACATTTACATAAAGTTTGCTTAGAGAAGTTGTGAAAAGTGTCAAACTGAGGGAAAAGCCTTTAATTCTGTGGAGAAAAAAAGCTGAGCAAATATGTTTCATTATGCAGTGGAGAAGTCCAGTGGTGTAACTTCTACAGATAACTAACTTACAGTTTAACAAAATGATTGTCAGGAAGCCAGAATGGGTGTTGACTGGGGAAGGGATGGATTGGGCAGGAGGGGAGAAGAGTGGAGAGGGGGTGGGCAGAAAGTCATAGGAAAACGAAACCAGGCAGTCTAGGGATGAGTGGGGTGGGAGGGATGATGCTTTGTACACCACATACGCTGACACATTGAATTGAATTTCCTTTGTGTAAGTACTTAATAGGATTCATTAGTATATCTCTTCATTATTGGGCCATTTGCACCTATGTATAGAAATTGAAGTTGAGCATATATTTGATATATATATTATCTGTTGGAAAAATTGAAAAAAAGTATAAAATTTCTTTCCTTTCTGACAGAAAAAAACTATTCAGAAAAACCTACCGATGACTATGCCAGTCATAGCTCTAGCCCTGAACCCTTGCCAAACGGAGTGAAGACAGTGTCTGTGAGACCAGCCTGGGAGAAGACTAAGTCAGTTAGCTATGAGCAGTGTAAGCCTGTTTCAGTAACACCACAGGGTAATGATTTTGAATATACAGCAAAAATTAGGACCCTAGCTGAAACGGAGCGATTTTTTGATGAACTTACAAAAGAAAAGGACCAGGTAAAATAAACAAAAATGTCTTTAAAATCTTTTTTCTGAACTTAATGCTAATGTCTAGGAAATAGAAGGGTGTTGAGTCAGACTGTCCCATGGAATTATTGGGTACCACACCATGGGGTAACCAAAACTATGCTAGAAATGTCATAAGCCATGTTGTCAGTTGTTGTCAGCACCTAACAACAGAGGGCACTTACATGATGTCAGAACAGAGCAGAAAACACTAGGCAAAAGTCTTTTTTTTTTCCTTTCTATGTTATAAACCTCCCTGCCAGGAATCAGAATTCTTCGGTTTTTATTTGGCTATTTTCTTGTGCTAACAGATTGAGGCAGCACTGAGTCGAATGCCTTCTCCTGGAGGAAGAATCACTTTACAGACAAGAATGAATCAGGTGAAGTGGCTTGGCTTGATCACTATAGGCATCTGTGTGTCCACGGTCTACTCATCCAAGAAGAGTTTTTTAAGTGCACAGAGTGCTGAAGCAGCAGTCAGAACTTTCTGACCTTGGCAGGAAGTGTTTGACAATTACAGTTATTTTATAACTCCTGCTAGCTTTCAGGAATAAAATGGGCTAGCTGTAGACCTTCAGAGAAGGATGTTCAGGACGCAAAGGGCAGTCTGTCTTTGGGTTTTGTGTGTGTGGTGGTGGGACCGAAGCCAAGGCTTCACGTATGCTGGGCATGCACTCTTTACATCTTCTCAGTTCTACACAAAGCTTTGAACAGATTTCACATAGTTCCGATAATGCTACCTTATCTCCATTCTTGTTGCCATCCCACTTATTTCTATTTAATAAACAGTTGTTCCTTATCACTGGAATGGCAGTAGGGAGAGAGGTGTGGTTCCCATCCTGAGCAGCAGGTGGTGCTGGTGATGCTGGCGATGAGGCCAGTGCACACTGCTGTTCACAGTGAATAAAAATGCATGAAACCACAGGTTGTTTAAAATTTGCTCTTTTAGGAACATTTTTTTTTTGTTTTTGTTTTTTTTTTTGGTCCAGTCGTGGGCCTGAACTCTGGGCCTGGGCGCTGTCCCTCAGCTCTTCAGCTCAAGGCTAGTGCTCTACCACTTGAGCCACAGCGCCACTTCTGGCTTTTTTCTT